ATCCTCAATTTGGAAGTCAAGACCAGAAATGTGAATCACTGCATCCTGAGCCACAGAAAGACAGCAGCTAACTTCACAGAAGTCAGAGCAGATGAGAAAAAGAATGACTCATTTTTTACATTTGAATTATTATTGTTACTGACATTTTTGTTAATGACTTACAGAAACAAGAGTCCTCATAAGTCCTTGTGTCCTATGCTTAAAAAAACACTCACATGCCATAAAATTTTGTTCATAAACAAACTACCACACCAGAAATATATGTATGGTCTTTTTTGTTTATGTTATGTAATAATTACTTCTACTGAAATGAAAGAGATTTGTTTATATTTATTTTTTTTTTTTTTTTCCTTTTTGTCTTTTTTCGTGACCGGTAACGGGATCGCAACCCTCGGTGTTGCAACTGGCAACGGGATCGCAACCCTTGGTGTTGCACCCACACTGCGCTCAACCAGTGAGCGGACCGGTCTCTATATGGAGCGGGATCGCAACCCTTGGTGTTGCACCCACACTGCGCTCAACCAGTGAGTGGACCGGTCTCTATATGGGATCCGAACCCTCGGCGGGAGCGCCGCCACACTCCCAAGCGCCGCACTCTACTGAGTGCGCCACCGGGCCAGCCCTTCCTTATGTTTTTTTAATAACATTTTCTTTAGCTTACTTTATTGTAAGAATACAGTATGTAATACATACAAGTGTTAATCATATATGGGTGTTAATATGTGTTGGTTGACTATTTATCCATAAGGCTTCAGTCAACAGTAGGCTGTTTGTAGTTAAGTTTTTAACTTGTAGTTAAGGAAGTCAAAAGTTATACGGGATTTTCAGCTGGGGTGCTCGTCGACCCACGTTGTTCCAGGGTTATCTGTATATCCTTCCTAGATTTCATTCATGGATTTCTCACCTCTTGGCCTCTTACGTGCCACACACCTCCCTCAACGTGTGCTCCTCTAGTAGCTTTTGTAGCTCCTGTTGCACAATAATGCCTTACAATCTACATATTTAATGGAATTTTGATGAGTTTTTTCACCATACAATATTTAAATTATGTTAACTTTGCCATGTATAAATTCTTGGCAGGTAAGACTACTTTAGACTTCATGTCTGGTTAACTTGTCTCCAGCAAATCATCATTAGATAAAGAAATGTTTTTGCTCAAGTTTATATTTCATAATAATGGAAGCTATTTTAAGAAATAAAGGAAAATTTAAGGTAATTTCAAGTGCTGTTTACTGTGCTGCTGTACTAACTATAGTCATTGTCTTATTGTAGCAGCAGTTGGGGATATGAATAGTATATGTTTGTCAGCCATGCATTATCAGATTTAAAACTTTATTCCCCCCACCTCCAACCCCTTTTCCTTTTATAAGTCAAAAAGGTATAACATCCAAATTCTAAGTATTTCTTCTTCAGATATTTCTCTGGGATACCTCCTTCTTAGTTTCCTGGTCAGAGCGTTTAGATGCACTATATAGCCATATAGAGACCCTGATCTTACTGATCACTTTAAGGAAATGTTATATTTGACGTTTAAGTAAATATCCTCAGAAGGCTTGATTATGAGTTCCTTTGGACTTGCCTGGGTCTTTTCAAAAGCAATGGCTTCTTTCTTCACATATAAAGTATCGTTGGTATCATTTTTCTTATTCCTTCTGCCTTGGGGGCTTAACCAATCAGAAGTCACCCCCCAGCTCTGTAAGGAGCCCCGCCGTCTAGGCCTGCAGTGCATGTGATGTGTTCAGCTATCTCCTGCCTCCACAGAGGCCTCACCACAGCCCCTGTCTCTTTCAGCTCATGACACTGAGAGGTTCGGTCCTGGAGGATGCCATTCCCTCAACGGCAAAGCACTCGACAGCCAGGGGGCTGCCTCTGAAAGAAGTGCTGGAGCACGTGATTCCCGAGCTCAGTGTCCAGTGCCTGCGGTTGGCCTTCAACACTCCCAAAGTCACAGAGCAGCTCATGAAACTGGATGAACAAGGGGTGAGTTTGGCTTTCAGAGAAGAACGCTCTTTTTGCGGGGGGGGGGGGGGGGGGGCGGGCCAGTAATGGGATCTGAACGGTTGACCCTGGTGTTATCAACACTGTGCTTTAACCAGCTGAACCAACCAGCCAACCTCAGAAGGAGAACATTCCTGCCACTCAGGTTTCCTATTCAGGTTCCAGAATACAGACTTTAATAAGTTTCTGCTTTTGATGGGGAAAACAGATACCATTTATTGTGAAGGATGTTCTCTTTGCAGTTACTCATTTTCTTTTCTTAACCTTTTTAGCATTTCTTATCTGACAAAATTCTCTCAGTCAGAACTGAAAGGGTACTTAAACAGTGCTCAACTTTTTTTTTGTGGCTGCCTGGAACTGGGATCCCAACCCTTGACCTTGGTGTTCTAGCACCATACTCTAACTAGATGAGCTCACCAGGCAGCCTGTTCAACTCTTTTGACAGTCTTCCATACATGCAGTGAATTTTTAAAGTATTTTGGAATAAGTAGTGGCATTAATAATAATATCAATAATACAGCACAGTAATAATGTTATTACATGAATAATAATTAATATAGTAATAATAATGGCTAACACTAATGAGCATTTTCACCAGGCTTTGTTATAAGTGCCTTAAATATGTTATCCTAATTAATCTTCCAACTCTATGAGTATGGCACTATTGTTACTTCCATTTTAGAGATAAGAAATCTGGGGGCACAGAGAGATTCAGTAATAAATCCAATTTTACACAGTTGATAAGCTGTAAGAACCAGGGTTCAAGCAATCTGCTTCAAAGCCTGTTCTGTTGGCCACTACACAACACTGTTCTTAAAACCCTAGATTTTAAAAGTCTACTAGTACCACCAAAGATGTATTTTAGCTATGATTTTTAAATATAGTAAATATAGTATAGTATAGTTTAAAATTTGGGTCCTAATCAGTAACAAAGTTAAAATGCTCAAGATTTTCTCCCTCCACTCTTCCTGTACCTAAATGTGGGGGCTCTTTGGTCGAGATGCAGATGTGTGATAGGATGATCCATACAGACAGAGGCAGCGGAGGGAAGAGGATGAAGAGTAGTGATCTGAAAAACTGTCTAACCAGCAAGTGTTATACACACTCTGCTTGGAGTAATTTGAACATATGGGCTAATTCTGTAGATCTTATACCTATGTACTCTTATTTCATCTCTTTCTGCTAGCATTTCAGCCATAGTGCATCTTAGCAATGGGTGGTAGTAGTTTTAACATTGCATTAAAAAACTTTCTTCAAAAATAAAATTGGTCCAGGTATTGAATGTCATTTTGTGAACAATTTTTGATGGTATTTCCTTAATTAATCAAAAATTCTAATTTTATTAAAATGAATAGGAATCCAAAAAAATCATTTTCAAGGTATATTTATTCTTTTAATTCAGCCAATGAGAAATATATAATGAACCAAGTTGACATAATTTTTAAAATTCTTCCTTTCTCTATACATTTTGCTTTTCATAATGCACAGGTAATGTTTATTCCATATGTATATCTAAATAATGCTGTGAGTATCCACATTTATAACTTGTAAATTTGAAGAACTTTGAATGCTCCAAAAGACAACTGATACATAAACTTAACTGTTTTAGGTGCTGTTTCCAATAAATATTCTGGACATGCATTCTAACAAAGGAGCAGAAAAATGATGATTAGGTTCAACTTGATTGATTCAGTTGCTATTATTAATAATTTATGATATTAAATTATTGAGAATAAAAACATCTAGACAATGATAATATAGTCATATACTTGACACTCTAAATTTATATCAGAACATGTTACTTTATATAAAGGAGTTATTTATTGCTGTTTTCTTTTGTTTTAACTATGTATACCTCAATTATAAACATCTTATGGGATTTCTGGCATACTTAGTGCCCTCTGTTAGTGATTGCAAAATATTGGACCACAGATGGTGCCAATCTTTGATGAATACTTTATGGTTCCATCCACACAGGAAAGATAAGAACACTATAATGAATTTAACTCAAAGTTAAATTTATTTAATTCACAAAATTGGCCATTCTGATATTATGACCTTTCTATCCTTGGGAGTATTAAAATATTCTTTCCTTCATCAGTTATTAATGATAGTATATGATAGTTGTTTTCTTTAATGACTTCTCTAGGCAAAATTAAGATTTGGCAGAGTGAGTTTCTCCAATTTTACTTGGGAAGTAAGTGCATTAAATATGTTGTCCCATTAAGTAGGAGTTTCACCATTAGGCAATAGTTTTTACTAGGCAGTAGTCTAGAACTAGTTTAAAGCATGCTCTTCTATAGGAGCAGCTCTTTATCTGGAGTAAAGGGCACCACCACTTGGCCTCTGTCTTTTCTATCTCCATACATAGCATTCAAAGACAGGCTGGTATTGATATAAAACAGATGACATGCATACTTAGGCTTTCAGTCTGGAGAGTAATTTTGGTAGGAAATCTCGTTGATGCCTTGGGATCATTTTGAGAAAATGATTATTTTGGTGCCTTTACAAATACAGATTTTAAAAAGGAAACGCTTATCAGTGCAGTATATTACGCATATGAATCATTGCAAAGCATTTTTAGTTTCCATCTGTGTTGTCATTTTAAAAATTCTCTAGCTTTGTATATCCTTATATTTAAAGAGATTTATAATATGATACCAGGAAACTGGACTCACTAAAAGTAATTTTTAAATTTTATTTAAATGATTCTATTAATATCTTTTTACTCTTATTAAGTGGCTTACATAATTATGCTTGGAAAAAAAAGCACTGTTGGTTATATTGTGGCATTTTGCCTTTCAGATCTTTGGTGCTTTATTTTCTCATTTTATCACTATTAAAAACTCAAATTAACAGAATAACAAATTAAAACTTTATCTATAAAATATAAAAGAAATCATTGCACAAAAATCTAATAATTTTTCATTTCACTCAACAATGATATGTATGTAGGGTTTAAACTAGGCATTTTAATTCCTGAAGAAATTTATTTTAGAAAATGAATATATGCTTTCTGGCTTTTCCAAGCTTTCACGTTCTCCTTCTGATACCTTACTGAGCCTTTCACTATTTATCGATGTCCATTTCCATTGTTATATAAAATGGCAATGAAAAGATAAAACCAACATGCCAGTGTTTTCACACTGGCAAGAATTTAGAACATTTTGTGCCTTAGAAAACTTGGATCAACTCTGGATTTAGTTTACCCATCATGTTTCTAGATCTTTATGAGATGATTGAGAACATCTCTCATGATAAAAACAAATTAGGTAGATATATGTTTCATTATTACTGTGTTCTAATCACTTTACTGGTATCATCTGATTTAATCCTCCCAGCAGCCTTGTGTGGTAGGTTCCAGTTATAGGCTTATTTTACAGTCCAGGGAATTGAGGCTTACAGAAGCTTAGTGCCATTTTCCTCCCCTCTCATCCCTTAGTAGTCCTGAATACTAGATACAGATTTCATTTTTAAGATTTGCAATTTTTCCTGTACTTTTGCATATCTTGAATTATTTTGATCCTTAAATCTATGCTGTGAAGTATTAAGAATTTCACTGTCTGTTCAAGTCAGCTTTTAAATAATAAAGGCAATTCAGTTATTTTTATTTTTTATTTTATTTTATTTTATTTTTTGTCTTTTGTCTTTTTTCCGTGTCTCGCAATGGATCGCAACCCTCAGTGTTGCCCCCGTACCGGACCGGGGACCGGCAACGGGATTGCAACCCTCGGCGTTGCTCCCGCGCCTCACTCAGCCAGTGAGCGGGAACCGGTCTGTATGTGGGATCCGAACCCTCGGGCGGGAGCGCCGCTGCACTTCCCAAGCGGCGCACTATCCAGTGCGCCACCGGGCCGGCCCTGGTTACTTTTAAATTTGTAATATCAGTGCCATTTTTCTTCAACAGTCATTTAAAAAACACCTATATCTCATCTATTCTGTGCAAGGGGAATGGAAGATTATTATGCCAAACCCCGTTTTAAGGAGTTCACACATGTAGAGCACTTTGTGTGGTAAACATTCAAGAAATGCTAGCTGTTATTGATAATGATAAAATATTAACTTGTAAGTACATGCATTATCTCATTTAATCTTTATAAACATCCATGAGAGAGCTCCTTTCATAGATAATATATTATGGTTACTTTCACAAGTAAGCATGACTGTTTCAAATCTAATAAATGCTTTTCGAGTACGACTCTTTGCAGGTTGTTAAATACTGTAGAGAGTAAATAGGCTAGTAAGACACAGTCCTTATCCATGAAGGAGACAAGGTCATAAATGACAGTAATGGATGTCAGGGTGAATATAATGAGTATAATAAGAGAATTGCAAACAAAGAGCAATGGAGGTGCAAGTCAGTGGGGACAAGTCATAATTGTTTAACTAGATCAGAATGAGATGGGCCTCAAAGGGGAGGAGGATTTCATCAGGCCTGAGAATAGGCAGTAGGGTGGTCCAGACTCAGAACAATAAGAACAAAGCACAGAGGGACAAAAGCACAGTTTGTGTGCCCTCTGCTAGTGATTGCAAAAAGACAGAGGCCAAGTGGTGGTGCCCTTTACTCCAGATACAGAGCTGCTCCTATAGAATAGTATGCTTTAAACTTCTAGATTCTACTGCCTAGTAAAAACCACTGCCTAATAGTGAAGAGAGCAGCAAGCAGCCCAACTGTATAGGAGTGTGAGGCACATGTAAGAGGGTAAAAAAATAGATAATTTTTATTGAACAATGACTAAGCCAGGCACTGTGTGGAACAATTAACATGAATTATTTTAATTCTCAGAATCCTTTGATGTAGGTGCTATTATTGTTCCTATTTTATAGACAAGAGCTCTGAGGCACAAAGAGGCTGATTGCAATTAGGATCTGTGGAGGCTGGTGTTGAATCCAGGCACTCAGACTCCAGAGTGCATTCTTAACCACTGCACTGTACACCCATCCTCCTTTCCTCCGCACGAGTGGGAGAAGAACCTGGAAAG